AGGATTTTGAGGTCACTGCTTCCTCTCAGCCCTACACTTTCCAAACTTCAGTTCTGGGAAATTTGAAAAAGCAACTTCATCTTCCTGTGACCCACACCAGCTACAAACAAAACAACACAGTCCTGCATTGGCTATTCCAGGTGACTTCAGAAAAGCTGCCAGTTCCAGCCAGTCCTGGCTCTGAGCTATCCCTTCCCGATACACTTCATCTACAGTGCTGACTCGGATGCCAGCTGTTGGAAGGAGCCAGCTGCAGCATCTGAGCACCACATCTCTCAGGAGCTACCAAAGGAAGCTTTACTTTGTTCCAACTGATTGCACATAATGGGAGAGGATAACAATTAGCATATCCATTATGCTTTTTCCCAACCTGCCCCCATTAGAGAGGAAAGCTCCTCTTGTCTGGGTTCCACTGCATACAACACCCTCTTGGTTCATAATTAGTGGAATAGGAATGCTCAGTCAGCTGGGAAATCTGCCCGAGTAAATGACATCCTCAAGTGCTTTCTAATCCAAGGTATGCAACCTCACACTTTGCTGCTAATGGAATACAGTGGGAGCACCAAGATTTCTGCTGTGGACCCACAGGCATCCAGGAACACCTCTCAAACTAATTCACTCCAGAATCCATGCCAGCAGCTCCAGCCCATCACCTGGGAGAACTCCTAGAACCTGCCAAGAGATCATGTCACTCAGTCCCTAAGCCCCTCCTATCTCCTCAAGGCAACACAAACATACTTACTTTAAGGAAAGGTCTCTGTCAAGGGACATGGGAGCAACAGAAAGCCAGGAGCAGGTTCAAGGATGGCATGCAGTACTGTTAGCACAGATAGGACTTTAGAATTGAAAGAACAGAGGTTACAAGACAAGATAGGAGCTGCACAGCACCTGGAAAACCATGCACCAGATATTAATTAAAATAACACTTTGCCTCACTTCTGCATTTAGATGCACAGGAGAATCCATCCTGGTAATTTATGGCATGTAGCTGCTGATATGCCAATCAAAGGAAGCCCAGAGTAACAAGTGTTGTTAAGAGACCTTGTTGATCCTCATCTCCACAAACACAGGCTTAATTCCTTCCATCCTAGTTAATCAGGTTACTTTGTTTTAATTTCTTAGACAAAAGGGGTAGCATTGGGCATCGCATATGCAACCACCAGACAGCTCCCCTTGGCTGGAGGGAGGATGTGGAGGTGGGGTTTAGAAAAGCACATGTTCTGGAGCAAGTCTGAAAGGTCTCCAATCAGAGGATTCCAAAAGGACATTTTCATCCATAAGCAGAAATTTCTCCACTTCCAAAGCACCAAGATTTTGATGAAGACCTGATAATTTCCAGTTGCAGAGGTGATCAGAAAAGTAAGAAATGAAAGCTTTGCTAATTCCAGGAGGCTGCAGTCAGCTTACACACATGGTGCGTGGCCACGTGCTTTGCCAGGAGCCCAGCAGACCTTGTTCAGTGGACTGCAGATCTGATGCCAGCCAAAGTGCCAGAAGCTGCAGCAGAGAAAGTCACTGCAGCAACTTCTTTTCCACCTCACAGCCAGACTGAATTAGCACAATGAAGCACAGCAGATCCTGCTTTACAGATGTCCTGGGTTTGCCTTACAGGTGTAATGGGCAGCCACTATTACCCAGGAGAAGCTTCGCTGCAGGGACCTTTGGGAGTAAAGTATTCCAAAATCACGACCCTATATATCTTCAGTTTGACAGCCAAAACTATTCACTGCTTTTTTTTCCTTGAAGAACTGCATGCCAATTTTCACTAATGTAAGATAAAAATAACCTGACTCCCTGTAGTGACGGTGTGAAATTAAGTTCATTACCATGTGTGAATCAGTCAGATACAATGGTGGTGAGTACTACTGTGCAGCACTTGAATAGGCAAAGGAGCAGATCCTACAATGGGCAAAAGAAGAAAGACTGAAGAGCCACACTGAATGCAAGCACCAGATACCACATGCATTCAGTGAGGCAGAGGTGCTTCAGAGGAGATCTATGGGGAGGTCAGATAATTGGAATATATTGATGCAAATGCACAGTACAGGGGAGAGGATAAGGTAAGGAGATGTGGGTTTAATTTTCTTCCTCCAGCTCCTAAAGATTAGGCTTATTTGCCTGAACATTTCATTAACATCAGCATGCAAAATACTGAAGCCTTGCTCAAAGAAAGTTAGAAATGAAGCCAAGGAAAAAAAACTGGGCCAGGAAGACAGACCAGTGAGATCAAGATAGAGATGACCAGGCTTGCAAAATAGCTTGGCTGCTCACAAAGAAGCATCGCTTCTCAAGAAGGCTGTTCGAAGAGACAGTACTTCATTCACTAAACACTGCAGCTGTGAAGGAAAGCTGTGAAAGAACACTGCACTGTACCACACATACAGTGGTAAGAGAGAAAGGGCAGGGAGCAGGGCAGAGGTTTCTATCCCTCGGCAGGAAAACATACATGAAAGTGGAGCTGTCAGACTCCAGTCATCCTAAAAGCCATCCAAGACATGCTCACCAAGCACTGCTAAACCTCCCTACCATGGAAACGCCCTTCAGCTCTCACCACAGACACTGGGCAGCTGTTTGCAGCCATAGGATGGCGCCACTGGTCAGGAACCAAACAGACCTCACTGTGCATCAGCTGCACCGGGCTCCAGCACTGCCCTGCTAGCAGGAACCAGATACAAGGACGGGTTGTGGCAGCCTGTTGAGATCAAAATAGATCACCTTTTAGAAGAAGTGGCACCTCAGTGACTTCAGAAATATACGTTTTTAAGAACTCGAATTTTTGTTTAAGGACTTGCATTCCTACTTCAAGCTCTCTTCCAGATAGAACAGTAAGAAATTTTCAGAGGGAAATTTGCTTCCTTTTCATCTTTCCATCCCCACCTGAATCAGAAAGAAGTCAGAATATTTTTCAGTAGCTTCTGCCTTAATCTCTTTCTCCACTCTCATTTTACCTCGAAAAGCAATGTGGGCTTTCCATTGCTGGGGAAGCTGATAAGGCCTGGTAAGCTTCCCCAAGAGAAAATAATAATAATAATAAACCAGAACAAAGAAAGTTTTGTCAGGTGAAAACAGATGAGACAATTCAGGGAAAGGTTATTTCTCACCAAGAAGCCACCTATTTAAAACTGCTTCAACTCCTCTGCCAAGACATTCCCCTAAAGAAGAGGGCTTAGTGCTTGCTGCTAAAAATATTTTTAACTTGGGCTGATAATCACATCACTGTAAAACATTACAGAATTAAGTCATGCGCTGTATGGAGATGGCAAAGCTGCCTTCACCCTCACAGAAAGCTCCGAGCCCCAAGAAGGAGGCAGTGCTGCATGCAGATGGATGCACTGCAAGGAGCAACCCTGGTGCCACCCAGGATGGGGTCAGAGAACAACACTGTCTGCAGGAGGAGCTCTACAGGGGGTTAAACACCTGTGTAAGTCACTCAGATATCGTGAGGTTACGCCTGCTTGCAAAAAGCCTTCCTAAAATGCAAAGGGAAGGAGAGCCACATCCAGTGTGGCCACAGAGTGTGTTCATCATGGCCTCTTTCCAAACAGGGCTGCAGTTCCTGTGGGAACGTCTGGCACCAGAGTGCCCTGTTTCAGAGGACCTGGAGAGAAGCATTCTCAGGAAGGAGGTTACCAAGGGATTCCCTCAGCTATTGACACACCGAGATACTTGGCAAGATGCTCTCTCTGGAAACGTCAGAGACACAGATGCTGTGCAAGCTCCCCCTGGGGCTTTTAAGAAGTGCCTGACTCAAATGGAAATCAATGCGAGGCTGGACTCCACTGCTCTGGAGAGAAAAAGCTCTGTGCAAAGCCAAGCCCAGGGCTCCGTTTGTGCACCACCCTGGGGCCAAGAAGGGGTGTCCCAGGGCCCCAAACGGCTCATGGGGAGGGAGCGGTTCATCGGGGGAGATTCCAAATCCCTTCACCGCAGCAGCAAGTTTTTCCCGTTCATCTGCCTTCCGCTCTCCTCCCTCCTTTGCTCGGGCTTCAGCCACAGCCGCTCTAACTAGGAACCTATGCCCACGCCCTTAAAGCCGCAGCGCTGCCTGCAGGCTTGCCTAGGGAAGGAGCCTGGAGGGACGCACAACACGAACACAGTGAAAGAACTCCGCAAAGCGGCCGGGCAAACCGCAACAGATGCTGCCGAGCTCAGTGCCTGAAGGAGCCCGGCGCTCCCGCAGAGGAAAAGCCCCCCGGCCCCGGACACCACAGCCGCGGGAAGCGCCGCCGCGCTCGCCCCGCCTCCGCCGCCGGTTCCGTGGCTTCTGCTGCCCTCTGCCAGCCGTGCGAAGGAAGCGCCGCAGCTGCGGCCGCAGAGAAGCCTTCGGGACGCTCCTTCGTAGGAGCGAGCGCCCACTGGGAATCGCTGGCCACCGATTGTTGAGGAAGGAGAACGGTTTGAGAAGTGCTTGCTCTCCGGTCTCCAGCAAAACCCAAGCCCTGAGTTAGACGGAGCGTCTTGTCTTCAGAGACCACTCCACCCTTCACACACAGCACCTCTGGCAGCCGTTAACATGTGCTTCTGAGTGCTTTTCTAAGGTTGCACACGTGCTAAGAGAGGCTGTAGATAAATAATATCACCTGCACACACGTTACAGCCATTCAGGTCAGCGAGTGCATTTCTCATAGCTGGAAACATCCGTGGGAGACAGCTCTCTCAGATGAACTTCCACTTTAAACACAGGCTTATTCAAGCGTTAGCATCCCATTGATGGATGCATGAAAGCGTCCCTCTTGTAGGTGAAGTGACCATGAGATGATACTTTTGCATCCAGACTTAAAAAAAAACAAAAACAAAACAAACAAACAAAACAACAACAAAAACTGAGCTATGGTTAGCTGTTCAAGTTGTTTTTCCCTCCTCCAGGGAGACTCAGGGTTTCAACTATAGGCTCCATTAACCCAGGTAGAGTAGACCTCAGACTGTCAAGCTACCTATCAGCATTAGGGCCAAAGCCAACAGAACCTCTGGCCAGCCCTCTTAACCCAGCAACCACAGACCTGCAGAAGTTCCTCGCTTACACTGCTCTCAATATCTCAGGACATCTGGGAAATCATGGGTTTCTCAGGTAGGCAGGGATCTCCAGCAAGATACCCTCACCTCCACTGCCAACCCATAAATGAGGTTTGGGAAGGGGTGGATCCTGGCTGCACCCTTTCTGGTCATTCACATACATTGCATGCACCTGAGCTCCCCAGGATTGGCCCTGCCTTCCCACCAGGTGCTCAATCACTGCTTCAAGCCATGATTCTGCATTTCTGCTGCAACCAAACAGCAATTTAACACTAGATTTTTTCCAACTATACCAGTATAGACATACTGTCAAGGGGAATGGGAGAGGTGCCTGAGGACTGGAGGAAAGCAAATGTCATTCTAGTCTTCGAAAAGGGCAAGAAGGAGGACCCAGGTAACTATAGATCACTCAGACTCACTTCCATTCCTGGAAAGGTGATGGAACAATTTATCCATGGCTCTGTCTCTAGGCACATCAAGGATAAGAGTTGGGTAGTGAGGTGGACTGTGAACTGGCTGAAGAAAAGAAGCCAGAGAGTTGCGGTCAATGGGACAGAGTCTAGTTGGAGGCCTGTATCTAGTGGAGTTCCTTGAGGGTCACTACTGGGACCAGTACTATTCAATATATTCATCAATGACTTGGATGAGGGAATAGGGTGCACTGTCAACAAGTTTGCTGATGACATAAAACTGGGGGGAATGGCTGCTAGAAGGATGTGCTGCCATCCAGTGAGACCTGGACAGGCTGGAGAGCTGGGCAAGGGCAAATATAATGAAAAACAACAGGGTCAAGTACAACCCCAGGAACCACTATAGCACTGTGCTCTTGTGGCCAAGAAGGATAATAGCATTCTGGGGTGTATGAGAGAGGGTGTGTTTAGAGGGTAGAGAGGCTTTGCCCTGGTATGACTGCATGGGGAATACTGCGTCCAGTTCTAGCCCCCTCAGTTCAAGAAGGACAGGAATCTGCTTGAGAGAGTCCAGCACAGAGCCACCAAGATAATTAAGGGAATGGAATATTTTCTAGGGCAAGGGATACAAGCTGGAACATAGGAGGTTCCACATAAATGAGAAAAAACTTGTTCACAGTGAGGGTAACAGAACACTGAAACAGGCTGCCCAGAGAGGTTGTGGGGTCTCTTTCTCTGGAGACATTGAAAACCCACCTGGACGCATTCCTGTGTGACCTGACCAAGGTGTTCCTGCTCTGGCAGGGGGGATGGACTAGATGATCTTTTGAGGTCCCTTCCAATCCCTGACATTCTGTGGTTCTGTGATACCGTGAGCTCACAGCAACAGCCTCATGCCTCTCCAAGGGCTTCAAATTGCCACAAACCAGGTGTCCCCCAAAGCTGGCACAGCCCCATGTCCAGCAGATCAATTCACTGACCTCAGGGTACTTCTCCCAGTGCACTGTGCTTCCCAACCACATCTGCACACACACAGACTATAGAGGCACAGGCCATCCCTAGAAGTCTACTCCTGCCATGTCCTACACTGCTGCGAACCCTGGAGAGATCCCTCTCTGTTGTTTTTGTTTGTTTGTTTGTTTCATTTTTTATCTTTCATGTTGGGACTTCTTATCTGCCCACAGCTTGTAGGCAAGAGTACTGCGTTCCAACCCTGGGCTGAAGAACCTTAGTTTGATCTCCAAGAGAAAGATCAGCCTTTAAGAACTGCTCAGAGAAAATGACATAACAAGGTATCTCTTTCTTCAACAGATCTGCTTCCTTGCATTTGTTTGAAGTCTGACCTGATTATTCTTGCAATTGTATTTTTAATGCTCATCAGGTATCCTTAGAGAAATGGATAGTCACTTTTTTTAGATCACGCATATGCAATCAGACAAACAAGGCAAAGCTCACCTGTTCTTCCCTACAGCCAAAAGCACATCCCTAAAAATGACTCCAAAGAAAGCAGAAGCTGATCAGATGGGACAGAGGATTGCTTTCTTGTCTGCCTTGGGCACACACACCAGAAGTGCCATCTGTCTCCATCATAGGGACAAATGCTGCCCTCATACTGGAATACGCCAAAGGAAGTTGTCTGTTACTCATGCAGTTGTCCTGTTCACAGTAGGAGGTTGTGCACACAGTGCTTTTCTGTTTCTTTCTCCCCTAAGTTAAGATCTCACATTTGTACAAGTCCACCTAGATATTTAAATATATACTTAAGGCTGAAAGGCATCTCCTGTGTCTAGAAAGCACCTGCTTCTCCCAGGTGCTCAGCTCTCAGCCATCTGAGATCAAGGCTGAGTTTCCCCACAGTTTTGCTGTGGAGCAGCTACTCTTTCAGATTGTAACCCTTTCTCAGCTCTTCTCTCAGCACACCCATAGCCTCTGGCTCTGCTGTTGAGCCTCCCAACAACAGGACTGGGATCAGAGGCAGTTATGCTGGGTGTGCAGCACATCCCCATATGCATCTCAGGAGTTAAAGCCACAGCAACTTGTGCCTGGAGGGGATTTTAAGGCACAAAGTTTGAGATGTTGCAAAGTGCTGCCATAAGCAGAAACCATGGGCACAGGTAACCTCTGCATCTCATAAATCATTAGGAGGGGGCAGAGAACTAGCCACTGTTTCATCAGTTAATTACAACTGTTAATCATATTTTCATTAACCTGAAATGAAACTGCCAGCATTTCCCCCATTTTCACCCCATGCCCCAAATTCATTTCTCAAATAGCAATTCCTTGTCAGCCAGGACACACAATGTTGTTTGCAGCATGCATCTGGGCAGCACCCCATTCACAGGGACTTCCAGACCCTACTGCCTTACCTCTCCCTCTATGTCTGCTCTGAACCTGCTATGCCCTAGGGATGAAGGAGCAGGGAGTGATGCCCAATCTCCTGTGCTGCTCAACACCATACAGGCAGCTGCAGCAGCCACCAGCAAGTCTCCACGCTCCAGGTCTGCTCACAGTTCCCTGGCAGCTTCCACTTAGAATTGGAAAAGATCACTAAGATCACCAAGCTCAGCTACCAACCCATCGCCACATACCCACTAAACCATGTCCCTCAGTGCCACATCCACATGTTTCCTGTCCCTGGAGGTGTTCAGTGACTCCCCCACCTCTCTGTGCAGCCTGTGCTTCTTCCTCTCCTTCTTATTATCCTTATCCTTCCTTGCCACACTCCCAAAGACCAAGAGTGAACTCAACATGTTGACTCTTCTGCACTACCTGCAGAGCTGGAAAGATGTCAGGCCACCAGGGTTGGGAGAAGAGCTTGGTTATAAGCCATGGCCAGCAGCTTCAGGTTCCAGAGTGGCTTTTGCTATCTCCCTCTCTCCCACCCTTTAGGAGCCCTAGATGCACTAAGCAGCCTGTAAAGGTGTTAATGGGAAACATATCACCTCTGTCACAGCTGTTGTGCAACAGGGCACCCAGCTCAGAAATGAGATATAAAGAGCATACTTACTCTCACAGTGTGAAAACTGCTGGGTTAAACAGAACAGAGGATTGCTGGCTCCAGCAAGCATAGCTGATCTCTTCATTTTATGGCAGAGTGCTTACTTTGCCAAACACAGTCCTCAATCCCCATGGAGCGGGCAGTTTCTCCTGTGTTAAATGTCTTTATATGTTACCAGGTGTGATAGTGGTATATAAATTGTGTTCATTACATGCCTTTCTATAGGAGTCACAACAGTGTCTCACCAGATGCTAGTGTGCTCTCAACTGAACAGGAGGGAGGAAAGAAGAAAGCAGAAGTTGGTCTGATAAAGGAAAGCCTTTTCTTATCCAGTTCCCAGCTATCTTAGTCTTTTCCATTCCGTGCTCCAGAAGTCCTACCTGATCTCCTGTCCTGTCTCCTGCAGAAGCATCCCACAGACATGTTGCAGAGGAACAGTGCTTTCGGAAGGAGTCTCCTACACCCCTACTGGTCCAGGATCCTTACCTCAATGGCAATACTTTGCTGGTGAGCTGGAGAAGCTTTACACCACAATTTACACCACAATTTACACCACAATCTGGCGGTCTGGCATCCAAACATCAGTGCACCAGAAAGACTGAAGATTTGACTTGATGACTCTTGGGAGGCGTGCAGCCCCCCAACATTCCCTGGCACAGAACAGCCAGCACAATAAGATGAACTGAAGCTATATTTTAAGTGACCTTTCAAAACCATATGCTGACACAAGGCATGACAGGTAGCACATTGTCTCAGTGCTCTAACCACTGCATTCAGGCAGAACAGCAGGCAAGCCTTGAATAAGCATACATTTATAGTAATGGCATACAGAAGGGAGATGCTGTAGTGCTCATGTAGGAGCCTGGTGCTTGGCTAAGGAAAGCTCCAAGAAGCATCACTTTTGCCCTGGTGCAGAGACCAGCTCAGAGAGCTTTGTTGCACCCCAGCAGGCAGTGCTGAGGGGCTGCCTTTAACATAAGCAGCACCTCCTGCCTTACTTTGCAGCCCCAGGAGGCTCTGGCAGAACAGAACTAGCCCAGCTGGGACAAGGACACTGCAAACAGGTCCCAGAATTGGTACAAGTCAGGACCTGCTTCTGTGGCAGCCCTGACAGTTAGCATCTGCCTTCTGGTTAAAGCTTTAGCTACAGATTTCCTCAGCCCCTTTGTGCTTACCTGACCCATCATGCCCCAGACAGTCAGAGTGAGGATAAGCTGCATTTGTAATGTCCCATCACACTGACAGCACAGACTACTTGGCATTCACCCTCAGTCTCCCTCAGGATCATTTGTAATCCCCTGGACTTCAGGTCCAACACAGGACACCCTTATCAGCTACCAGTGAGGAGAGCTTAAATGCCAAATAAACACTTCCATGAGTTACAGACCCGCTCTCCCAGCTAAGCAACTCCTACACCTGGCACTGTGCTGGACCACAAGCACTCACCTTTGCCAAGCTTCAAATACAAAGCTCTACATTCAGCAGTAAAAAGTTGACTTAGTTTCACCCCTTGTTCTCCCCATGGCTAAACAAGACTTGCTTGCCTCATTTCTGCCAAAAAATAGTGACCTTTGTGGTTTGAAATAGCCAAGAAAAGAAATCAAATACAACACTTTTAATGGCAAGGATAATTAAATATTACATTCCCTGCAACTGC